ACGGCTCTTGAACTCGATCCCTCTATTAATGAAAGCTAACACACCATACGCCTTCTTAACAACTCTATCCACCTGGGTGGCAGCTTTCAGGGAACTGTGAACATGAACCCCAAGATCTCTCTGCTCCTCCACACTGCCAAGAATCTTTCCATTAACCCTGTATTCTGCTTTCAAGTTTGTCCTTCCAAAATGAATCACCTCACACTTTTCAGGGTTAAACTCCATCTGCCACTTCTCAGCCCAGCTCTGCATTTTATCAGTGTCCCTTTGTAACCTAGAACAGCCCTCCGCACTGTCCAGAACGTGACCCACCTTCGTATCGTCCGCGAACTTACTAATCCATCCTTCCACTCCTTCATCCAAATCATTTACAAAAATCACAAATAGAAGAGGACCCAGAACAGATCCTTGTGGTACACCACTCGTAACTGAACACCGTGCTGAATATTTTCCGTCCACTACCACCCTTTGTCTTCTAAGGGTCAGCCAATTCTGAATCCAATCTGCCACATGTCCCCCTATCCCGTGCCTCCTTACCTTCTGCAAACCTTATCAAATGCCTTACTTAAATCCATGTATACCACATCCACTGCTCCACCTTCATCCACGTGTTTGGTCACCTCTTCAAAGAATTCAATAAGGTTTGTGAGGCATGACCTACTCCTCACAAATCTGTGCTGACTATCAGGAATCAAACTGTGCCTTTCCAAGTGATCATAAATCCTGTCTCTCAGAGCCCTTTCCAATAATTTGCCCACCACTGACATAAGACTAACTGGCCTGTAATTTCTGGGGTTATCCCTGTTCCCTTTTTTGAACAAGGGAATGACGTTTGCCTCTTTCCAATCTTCCGGCACTATACCCGTGGAGAGTGAGGACGAAAAGATCATCGCTAAAGGCCCTGCGATCTCGTCCCTTGCTTCCCATAGAATCCTCGGATAAATCCCATCAGGCCCGGGGCACTTATCTATCTTCAACTTCCTCAAAATTCCTAGCACATCTTCTTTACTAACATCGACCTCCTCTAGCCTACCTGCCTGTTTCACAACGCCGTCCTCTACAACTAGGTCCCTCTCAGTTGTGAATACTGAAGAAAAGCATTCATTAAGGACCTCTCCTATCTCTTTAGGCTCTGTGCACAAATTCCCTTTACAATCCTTGATCGGTCCTACCCTTTCTCTGGTCATTCTCTTGTTCTGCACATATGTGTAAAAAGCCTTGGAGTTTTCCTTGATCCTATCCGCCAAGGTTTTCTCATGCCCCCTTATAGCTCTCCTAAGCCCTTTCTTCAGCTCCTTCCTGGCTAACTTGTATCCCTCTAGAGCCTTTTCCGTTCCTGTTTTCCTAAACCTTACACAAGCCTCCTTCTTTCTCTTAACCAGTCGTTCGACCTCTCTCGAGAACCAAGGCTCTCTCACTCGACCGCATCTTCTCTGCCTGCTAGGGACAAACATATCGAGCACTTGCAGTATGCATTCTTTAAACAATCTCAACATTTCTGTGGTGCTCTTCCCTGACAGCATCTGTTCCCAATTTATGTTACCCAGTTCTTGCCTAACTGAATTGTAATTACCCTTCCCCCAATTGTAAACTTTACCCTGCCGAGTGTACCTATCCTTATCCATGACTGTCGTGAATGAAACAGAGTTATGATCGCTACCACCAAAATGCTCTCCTACCAACAAGTCTAACACTTGGCCCGGTTCATTGCCAAGCACCAAATCCAAAGTGGCCTCTCCTCGTGTTGGTCTATCTACATACTGTGTCAGGAATCCTTCCTGAATGCACTGGACAAAATCTGCTCCATCTAAACTATTACAACTAAAATGTTTCCGATCAATATTTGGAAGGTTGAAGTCACCCATGACTACACCCTGTGACTTCTGCACCTTTCCAGTATCTGCCTCCCAATCCGCTCCTCTACTTCTCTGCAACTATTAGGGGGTCTGTGAAAAACCCCCAACAAAGTGACTGCTCCTTTCTGGTTCCTGACCTCAACCCAAACTGACTCTGTAGACATATCATTCTCGAACTGCCTTTCAGTAGCTGCTATACTCGCCCTGACTAGCAATGCCACTCCCCCACCTCTTTTTCCACCCTCCCTATTTCTTTTAAAGCATCTAAATCCCCGAACTTCCAACAACCATTCCTCTCCCGGAGTTACCCAAGTTTCTGTAATGTCCACAACATTGTAGTTCCAAGTACCGACCCATGCTCTAAGTTCATCCGCTTTATTTCTGATACTTCTAGCATTGAAGTATACACACCTCTAACCATCTCGGTGTCCGCAATTACGCTCCATCAGCCGCATTTCTTTATAAACCACCTCACTGCCTGTTGTGTCTGTTGGAAGGCCAAATACCTCATCCTCTGAATTATAAATCCGGTTCCCCACCCCCTGCCAAAGTTTAAACCACCCCGTACAGCTCTAGCAAACCTCCCTCCCAGGATATTTGTGCCCTTCTGGCTCAGGTGCAACCCGTCCTTACTGTACAGGTCCCACCTTCCCCAGAATGTGCTCCAATTATCCACATAATGGAAGCCCTCCCTCCTACATCAGCCCTGTAGCCACATGTTTAGCTGCGCTCTCTCCCTATTTCTTACCTCGTTATCACGTGGCACTGGTAGTAATCCAGAGATAACTACCCTGTTTGACCTGGACTTCAGCTTCCAACCTAACTCCCTGTACTCGTTTTTCACATTCTCAGTCCTTTTTCTACCTATGTCATTGGTACCGATGTGTACCAATGCGCGTACATCCTGCCACTGCTGCTGGTGGTCGTTACCATTAAGAAAGAAGGAACAGGAGGAGACCATTTAGTCTCTAAGCCTGCCAACCATTCAGTGATATCATGGCTGATCCTCAACATAACTCATTTACTGGCCTTTGTGCCGTACCTCTCAATACTTTTAGCTATTATCATTCTCTGCTTTAAATGCAACAGTTATCTTTCCATCAGTTTCCATTTGTGAAACAGAGCTTCTGAGCACCCATCATCCCTAGTATGCTAAAGTGGTTCTGAATTTCACTCCTGAAAATATTTTCTCTTTGTGAACCTAATCTATTCCCCTTAATATCTTGAAAGTTTTGATCAAATCACCTCTTCATTGTCTACATTCCAAGGAGGATGGCCCCGGTCTGTGCAGTCTCTCCTTGTAGCTTAACTGTTGGAATCCAAGTTTCATTGTGGTAAGCTACATATTTGCTCCAATATAAGTACTTCGTTCCCAAGATACCCCATCTGACCTCAAGACGTGTATGGAATTCAGGTTGAGGGCAGATTTGAGTTCAGTTGTGACAGCCTGGATGGTCAAATAACTTGTGAACCTCACATGAATACAGACCAGTTAGTCAAGGTTCCAAAGTCACCTGATTCTGATGAGGTTATTTGTACCGAGGAATAGAAGCCTTCAGAGTACAGGAGGAAGAAAGTGAAGGTGTGAGTCATTTTTGATACTATCAGCCAGGATTCAGTGGTCGGCTTCTCATGTCTAAGGCTCAGCATAAGGATTGAGCACATAACCCAAGATGACATTCCTATGCGGTACTGAGCGATGCTGTATTGTGAAATGGAATGAGAGAGAACAACGGAGGTCTTGTTTATCCATGCAGATGGCATATAAGACCATATTCCAAGAAAGACCAGGAGATTTATTGAATGTTCTGGGCAATATTTATCCTTCAACCAACATCTTTTAAACATTATCTGGTCATTTATCTCATTGCTGTTTGTAGGATGTTGCTATGTGCAAATTGCTGTCATAATCTCTGCCTGACATTAGTGATTACCAACTTGAATCCATTTATTTTTTGTGTGTGTGGCTAAGACCATAAGAACTAAGAGCACGACACAGGCAATTCAATCTCTCAAGCCTGCTCTGCCAAAATTTCACCATCTGCAATGATGGGATTTGAACCTATGTGCCAAGGACTTTGGCCTGGGTTCTGGATTACTAGTCTAGCGACTTTATCATACCATGACTACCTCCCCTGGCAGATTTCTGTGCAGTCTGAGCAGCTTATTTGAACCAGGGCATCCATTTAACAAAGGCATATTTTCAAAGTCAGTTTATTAGCTTTTAAAAGTGTACATTTCTATTCTTTCACAGTTGCAGCTATTCTAGCTGCAAAAATAGCAAAATATAAAAATGTAAATATTTTAAAATAATTGTACAAACAAATCTCTAGTACACGTCAATGACTTCATTTGACACTATGCACCATGTAGGGAGCTTTGGACCTCTTTGCTCAGCTTAGGCCTCTGGGTACCCATTTAGTGGGGACACTATGAAATCTATGTATTATATGTAACCAAAAGATGATGCTAGGGCTGCAAGGCTAACATGGTGGTACAGTTGCACTAATGCTGTTTCTCCAGTAACATTTTAATTTTAAAACAAGAATATTGTCCTTGAAAGAAAAGGTAAATGAAATAATTTTTAAAAGTGCATTCCTGTTATTTTTAAGAAATGCAATACAATCACTAAGAGCATTTAAATTGAAGAAATTTAAGTTGAATTTTGAGAGATGTCCTTTAACACATTCTCTGCTTATGAAAAGAACGTTCATGGAGCAATTGCTTTCATGATTTCCTTTTTATGGATCTTGAAGACACTTTTGCTTTTCCTTCTGGCGTCATGTTTCTTGAACTATAGTTGAGAGTGTAAAAGATTATGCACTGTACATTTGGACGAATAAGGGGTGTGCACGGTTTTCTTTAATGTGCTGCAGGGAAAACTGGTAAGCACACTTCAGAAGTACTGTATTTTCTGAAAAGTAATTTGGGACATACTGAGATTGTGAAAGTTACTATAGAAATAAAAGTTTATTTGGTTCTGTTATTTGCACCTTTCTCTTTTCACCCATTTTTTTCTTTGTGTTTTCTTTCATCTCTTGATAAGTTCATTTCTTCGTGTGCATAGAGTTTCTTTTGTATGACCTGTACAGTTCCATCACTGGCTGCAGTTAATGTGCTTTTTTGTCTTCTCGTCCTCTTTAGTCCCTCTTTAATCTGCTTGAGTTTCGGAGACTTGTCCTCAACTATGTCCCGCCGACTGATCCTCAGGATGTACCTCAAAATCAAAAGGTGAGTGATTTCTGTGACTCTTTGCTTGAAGTTGATATGAGATGCTGGACAAAACATGCATTCACTTCACCACTTGGAGCTAGATGGATTGATTCCTGTGAGCATCATCATGACCATTCCATCTCCAACTTTACCTCCTACCTTTCTATGTGGCATGTTAACAAACTTTTTGTGTTACCCTTTCCATGATTTCTGCCTATCAGTCAAACAGCCAATTTCCTCCTCATGTCCTGAAAGTAAGAAATGAAACTTTAAAAAAGAAACTTCTAAATAATCCAGTGATATTTCACCTGCATTGCTAGAAATAGTGTTGTGAAGGTGATATTTAATTCCTCCAGCACAATTCCATTAACTTGACCTACATTCATTGAGTCGTTGAGTCATACAGCACTGAAATAGACCCTTCAGTCCAACTTGTCCATGCTGACTAAGTTCCCAAACTAACCTAGTCCCATTTGCTTGCGTTGGCCCACATCCCTCCAAAATGTTCCTGATCATGTATGTGTGTAAATGCATTTTAAATGTTGTACCACCTGCTCTGGCAGTTCATTCCACAGAGCCCCTGAGGTCCCTTTTAAATCTTTCTCCTCTGCTTAAAATCATGCCCTGCAGTTTTGAACTCCCCTGCCCTTATCTATACCCTTCATGATTTTATAAACTCTATAAGGTCACCCTTCAACCTCCTATGCTTCTGTGAAAAAAATGCCAGCCTATCCAGTCTCTCCTTAAACTTCAAATCCTCCAGTCCCGGTAACATCCTTGTAAATCTTTTCTGCATCCCCTCCAGTTTAATATGATCCTTCCTATAACAGGGCAACCAGAACTGGGCACAGTACTCCAAAAGTGGTCTCATTAACATCCTGTATAGCCATACTAGGAAGTCCCAACTCCTATACTCCATACTTTTGGATCAGAAATTGGCTAGCGTAAGAAGACAGAGGGTGGTGGTTGATGGGAAATGTTCATCCTGGAGTTCAGTTGCTAGTGGTGTACCTCAAGGATCTGTTTTGGGGCCACTGCTGTTTGTCATTTTTATAAATGACCTGGATGAGGGCATAGAAGGATGGGTTAGTAAATTTGCGGATGACACCAAAGTCGGTGGAGTTGTGGATAGTGCGGAAGGATGTTGCAGGTTACAGAGGGACATAGATAAGCTGCAGAGCTGGGCTGAGAGGTGGCAAATGGAGTTTAATGCGGAAAAGTGTGAGGTGATTCACTTTGGAAGGAGTAACAGGAATACAGAGTACTGGGCTAATGGTAAGATTCTTGGTAGTGTGGATGAGCAGAAAGATCTCGGTGTCCATGTGCATAGATCACTGAAAGTTGCCACCCAGGTTGATAGCGTTGTTAAGAAGGCGTACAGTATGTTAGGTTTTATTGGTAGAGGGATTGAGTTTCGGAGCCATGAGGTCATGTTGCAGCTGTACAAAACTCTGGTGCGGCCGCACTTGGAGTATTGCGTACAGTTCTGGTCACCGCATTATAGGAAGGATGTGGAAGCATTGGAAAGGGTGCAGAGGAGATTTACCAGGATGTTGCCTGGTAAGGAGGGAAGGTCTTATGAGGAAAGGCTGAGGGTTTTGAGGCTGTTTTCGTTAGAGAGAAGAAGGTTAAGAGGTGACTTAATAGAGACATACAAGATGATCAGAGGATTAGATAGGGTGGACAGTGGGAGCCTTTTTCCTCGGATGGTGATGGCTAGCACGAGGGGACATAGCTTTAAATTGAGGGGTGATAGATATAGGACAGATGTCAGAGGTAGGTTCTTTACTCTGAGAGTGGTAAGGGCGTGGAATGCTCTGCCTGCAAAAGTAGTAGACTCGCCAACTTTAAGGGCATTTAAATGGTCATTGGATAAACATATGGATGATAATGGAATAGTGTAGGTTAGATGGGCTTCAGAATGGTTTCACAGGTCGGCGCAACATCGAGGGCCGAAGGGCCTGTACTGCGCTGTTAAGTTCTATGTTCTATGGTCTGAGCAATGAAGGCAAGCGTGCTAAATGCCTCTCCCACACCCTATCTACTTGTAACACTACTTTTCAAGGAGCAATATACCTGAACCCCTAGGTGTCTCTGTCTGATTGGCAGAATTCCCCAGGGCCCTGCCATTAACTTTGTAAGTCCTGCCCTTGTTCGTCTTACCAAAATGCAAGACCTCATATTTATCCAAATTAAATTCCATCTGATACTTCTGGCCCATTGGCCCGGTTGATCAAGATCCCATCATACCCTTAGGTAACCTTCACTGTATTCTGTATCACCAGTTTTGGTGTCATCCACAAACGTACTAACCATGCATCCTATACTCTCTTCCAAATTATTTATATAAATGATAAGCGGTGGACTCAGCAGCAATTCCTGCAGAGCACCGCTGGTCATAGGCCTTCAGTTTGAAAAACAACCTTCCACCACCACACTCTGTCTGCTACCATCAAGCCAATTTTGTATCCATTTGGCAACCTCTCCCAGAATCCCATGTGATCTAACTTTCCTACCCTGTCTACCATATGGAACTTTGTCTGCAGCCTTGCTAAAGAGCATATAAACAATGTCTGTTGCTCTGCCCTCATCTATTTCTTGGTCACATCCTCAAAAAATTCAATCAAGTTTGTGAGACACGATTTCCCACACAAAAGCCATGCTGACTATCCCTAATTAATCCTTGCCTCTCCACACGCATGTAAATCCTGTCTCTCAGAATCCCCTCCAGCAACTTCCCCACCACTGATGTCAGACTCATCGGTCTATAGTTCCCACACTTTTCCTTGCAGCCTTTCTTAAAGGCACAACACTAGCTGCCTCCAGTCTCCCTGCACCTCACCCGTGGCTGTAATTGATAACAAATATCACTGCTAGGGGCTCCACAATTCCTTCCCTAACTTCCCACAATGTGCTGGAATACACTTAATCGGGTCCCAGAGATTTATCTACCTTTATGCTTTTTAAGACTTCCAGCACCACCTCTTCTGTAATGTGGACTGTTTTCAAGACATGAATATTTATTTCCCCAAGTTCCCGAGCTTCCATGTCTTTCTCCAGAGTAGCCTGTCGATCAAAAACTGGAAGGTCAATATGACTTCGATATTGGGATGTAAGGACAGACCTTGTTATAACTGGACTATGTCATAGCTAGGTAATCAAGTAGTGTATTGAATTCCTTTATGCAGAGGAAAGCTGCTACTAATTGTGTTCGTTCTAGGCTTCCCTTTTGGATATTTATTCAATGGGTGTTTTTAAAATTCAAGTAGCATTATGGGATTGAAGCAGAATTATGCAAAGGGAAAACTATTTCATTTTAGCAGAAGAAAATGATTCCTGATTGTCATGGAGAAATATATTTACTGACTGTACTTGCAATAAAGTTACTTTTCTTTTAACATGAGCATAATTTGCTTTCTGAGGAGCCATGAAATCTCTGTCTCATTCGGGAATTTGCAGTATATTAACCAATTTTACAATTTGATTTCAAATGTGCATGCAAGACTTACATTTTTACTGGTCAGGATTTGTTTCTCAGACACCCTGTCAGAACACTTCTACAACCAGTCTGTCCATAAATGAAAGTGGTAAATATTTTGTGTGTCAGACTGTCCTTCCTTATGAACGCAATATCTAAAATACATTTCCAGCCTTCACTTCAATCTATCGTTCTCTCCCACCCTGCACTATAACACCTTATTCTGATCATTAAATGATGTATTGCAAGTTCCAAAAAAGTATGTTACAAAACTAAACTTTGGTGCATTTAGTGTTTGTTATATGTTTGAGTAATTTTCACTTTTCCTGTACAAATCTTTACATGTTTTTGTATCAGATTTGCTAATTTTTCACTCTTGAAAGTTACAACTTTCAGAGTCAACAACGGAACACTTGCCATTTCTGGCATTGAAGTCTCTCAAGTTAGGTATTGGGAGAGATGTAGAAAGTGAGATGTCGGGTCAAGCTCCTTACGTCCTGACACAGCAATGCGTCTGTGTTTTGAAAGATGATTTTTGTCTCTGCAGTCCTCACAAAGGAGATAAGTAACCTTGTCCCAGAACTTTGAAAAAATGAAATATAGCCATTCATAGTTGTGCCCTTTAAATTAGCCTGTTCTTTACACACATCCTCATTTGACCTCCAATCTCACTGATTCTTGTAAGAAATGCCCAGGTCTCTAGTTGGTGTCACCTTGTCCTTGCTTCTGTCAGAAAACAGCTGTACTGAGAAGATCTTGGAGTGTTGACAAAGTAGCAGTAAATCTGGCAGATTGCTGATTGTCTGTTTTCATGATTAAGTAAAGGATGAAAATGATACACATGTAACCAACACCGAACATTCCCACTACACCTGAGTTCAGGCTGTGTCTGTATAGATTGACCTGAGCTTCATGAGGCTGAGATGATGCTCACAGATCCATCATTAGTGTTGGATTCAATTTTGAAGTGTTGTATTAAGTGATTTATAATGGAAGGAGATTAGCACAACATCCAAGAGTATAACTTGAAATATGATTCTTTCCTTACCCTTTATTGAAATCAGTAATGAGAATTGGAAAGTCAATTCAGCTAATCACGGGTCAAAATTTTTGAAAATATTAGAGGATAGTGGTTCATTTTTGTTTATTTTTACCTGTATGAACATCAGTCTACACCTGGACTTTGAATAAACATTATGCAGATGGCACTGATCCAACTTGCTGTTTGGCATTTTTTTTCCCCTGTCCTCCTCTGTGCTCATTAAGAATGCAATAAATAACTGTTGCTGAATTGGATTCTTCCTGTAGCAGAATACGCTCGGGTTAAATATAGGACAGAGAAAGTTGTGGAACAACTTGACTCAATTGATCCAACATTTATTTGAAGTTCAAATCATATGATAACTTTTATCGTGTCACACGGTCACTTCTAGTGATGAATCATCTTGGCTGTTTAATGAGAAATACATGATTTCATAAGATTGCTAGCTGTTTTGTACATTTGCCGTATCATCACTAGAAAATATATTGAGAGGGGCAGAAAGTTATTTTAAGTTTTTGTCTTTATAGCACAACTGGGGTATACTTGAATTTGTCAGTCTCAGCTGGATAGTGTGACAGTGCTGTCACTTTAGAAAGATTATTTTGTCCTGGGCATTTTTGAAAAGAGGTTGTAAAGGCAGAGGAGTTGCACTGACTACTGAAAGCAGCTTAAGTAAATAACTTAGGAGGCCTTAAGGTTTTTTAAAAGTGTTAGAACAATGGAAGGGGAGTGGCCAGCTCTCACAGACGAGGCTTGCTAGTTTTTTTAAGATGCAGCAGTCAGAAGCTGTTTGGGGTCCCAGAAGGGTTGGAAGCTTCAATAAATAATTCCTAGTTGCTACTTTCTCTGAAATGCCTCTTAATGTTGTTTTGTTGTGGATTGGAGAATTCCATGTAAGAATCAATGTTTGAATTTGCCTTTTTGCCAAGGGGTACGTTTATGAGATGTTACTATATTGGAACAGTTAATTAATAATTGGTACTGTCTATTATTTGGTTAAGTTTTCCAGTAGTTAAATTATTCTAAATTCCTCTTACTTTGTATTTTTTATTTTAACTATAGTGTTTAAACAAATTGTATTCTGCTTAACTACAAGTCGTGTGACCAGTCGCATTACATCTGGAACACGCACTTCATGTCTGCCTTTAAGATCTGAAACAGTTGAGGTCTAGGCTCCCTTCTTAAAATATTTTGAGGGGGTTTGGTCTGGTCCATAACAATAGAAGTTTGGCTACTCAGGTAAAAAGTTCAGTTTGATTAATATGGTTGCAGCGTGTGCAACCTACAAGATGCACTGTGACTTTTAACCAAGGCTGCTTCAACAGCACCATGTAAATCTGCAATCTCTGCTGCTTGGAAATGTAAGGGAATCTGTCACATGGAACCCCATCAAGTGCAAGTTTTCTTCCAAGACAAAAACCACCCCAATCTGAAAATATGTCGCAGTTCCTTCACTGCCACTTGAACTCCCTCCCTGATGGTACACTGGGAGTTCATACATAGTGTAAATTTGAATACAGAGGAGATATAATGAAAATTTTAAATAAATATAAAAAACCTCAGTTTGTGTTCTGTTTTATTCTATGCAATTAAAATTGCATCTTAGTAAATTCGATCAAGATTCTTCATCATCTTCCTTTTCTCAAGCTTCACTATATCATTTTAGTGTCACCATTGGGCACAGTTCACCTGTAGCGTCTCTATTGAATCTATGCTTGCAGATAAATTTATGTAACGTTATAATTCTATTGCGTTTATTTTAATGGCGTCTATGTGCATACCCTACCAGTTGCTCAGCCGTTGCATGGTAACAGCGCAAGTAACTAGCCAGAAGTTGACTCTTGTATCAAATGTATCTTTACAGTAAGCACTGTTAGAGCTGAGTCTCTCAAATCCTGAGAGGAATTTGGAGTGGCATGAAACTTACTGAGGCTGTGTGTGACTTATAAAGGAAACCTTTCTCTACCAATTGAGAAGTGATTCTTTTTGCATCTAAATTGTATTTGAATAAATGCAAGCATTAACTGGTGACTCAATTGAGTCGGTATGAACTGAAACTGTGGTGGATGGGTTAGGAGACGTGCTCATAATGTGATTCTGGAAATAAATGTTTATAAAGGTGTGTAAATATTGGCTCCAGTTCTGTCCTTTACAATCTGGCTTTCTGGTGCAGAACAGAGGGTGTCTCTTTCTCCATAGATTTTAAACCAATCAGTTGGTCAAATTAAAAAATAATTTAAATTTCATTCTGGTCCCCCCTTCCCCATTCTTTTGGAGGAAAATCTCTTTTTATGTTTGAAGTTACAGGTTCACTGGTTTATGCTTTCAGTCATGCTTTGGCATGTTGGCAAGGCAAGCATTTGTTGCTCCTAAGAAGAGCTGCAGGGCTGCTTTTTGACTTTGTTCAATTATTGTGGTACACTCAATGCATAGGCTTAGTTTGGCAGTTTTATGGTTTTGATCTAGCTATGGTGAAGAAGCAGCTGATACATGTCTACTTCAGGATATGGCTTAGAGCTGGTGGTTTTTCAAAGCTTCTGCAACTTGTCCTCCTGGGCAGTGGACATAATAAATTTCCTAGAGCCGGTGAGTTTTTCAGTACCTTTTCCAAGGGGCTGGTCTTCATGTGGCCTCTATGCGATGACTCTTTGCTGTCTTTAGGATGATCATCTCAGAAAACTATGTATTTATGATAGAACCCAGCATTGTGCAGAGGATACCATCCACTTGCAAATTGGTTTGCTTATCTTGCTTATATAATTTTCTTTATTAGGTCTCCTCTGTATTAAATGTGTGGCCTGCAGAGTGTGTCTATCATATTGTGCCCCTCTCCCCCAACCTCTTTAGATCGTCTTCATTGATGAGCAAGCTGTTTTTGGGATTGTCTGTGTTCATTTTTTCTTGCGATTTGCAGGAGCGACGGAATCTTCCTTTTATGCGTGAATTACGACACCTATTTGCTTTAATGGTTAGCTCCAAACGGAAGTATGTGGATCCATCAAGAGCTGTGGAAATATTAAAGGATACTTTCAAATCTAATGACTTGCAGCAGGTAAGAGTTGGGTAGTAATGAGAGAGAATTTGCAATAAATTTGTACCACATCTGAATCCTACTGTTACAGTTGATAGTTCAGTTGATCATTAATGGCTGCAACTCAGCAATTCAGACCAGATTTGGTCCCTGCAATGTGCTCCATTAAGCTCATAGACTGAAGACTACAGTTGGTCTCATTATTTCCAGAGATCAGCTTGGAGAGCCACTCCTTATTGGTCTCCACAGACTTCTGCAAAAAACTGGTGAGAGTTCAATTGACCTTTGTTGTAAACAACCAACACTTGTCTTGTTCATACATATAGTGATCTCTTGGGTGAATTCCAAAAGAAAGAGGCATTTCCAGTGGGACTGTAGCCAGCAGAGTTGTATGTACCAGAAAGGAATCCTCCATTTCTGGTCAAAGGAAAATAACGATAAATAAGCAAAAAAAAATTACATGTTGACATTACTGAAAATAACTCCACGAGCATGTAACCCTGTTTACATTTTTCCATTTCCCATACCGACTGTAAGAAAATGATGACTGCTAGTTATAGATGCACAATTAATACAGCTCACCTCATTCTTTCTCTTCCCTTTGTGCATTTCTTACCTGATCTTGTGATCAGAGTGAGAGACTGATGGCAGAACTGTTTCTGTGTTGCATCTGCTCCAGGTTTTTTGTTTGGCTATTGATTTATCTAACCTGCTGGAAGCCAAAGACTGATGTGCAATATTTGTGTGCTGGCAACCCTCTGGCATTCGTCTAGCCTATGATTTCTTGTCTGTAGAACTAAACGTCAGTGTCTGATGTTTGACAATGGGGGCACATCACTTTTTCTCGCCTGACTACGACAAAGCATGTGATGGGCCTGTTCACCTAGAAAAATTATGATTGGACAGTGCCAACATGGATTTATGAAGGGAAGATCATGTTTGAAAAGTCTTTTGCAGATATTATTCATAGCATAAATAAAGTTAGTAAACAAACTTTGAGAATATGAGTTTGGGAATGCTGTACTGATGTAGATTGAGAAGCAGGCCACTCAAGGGTAGTGACTGTACGGGTACCAGAAGGATCAGTGCTAGGTCCACAGCTTTTCACCATAAAATCGTGAAAATAATTTGAATGTGGGGACCATTTATAATATTTCCAACTTCTGATCTGGGTCCTAAGCTCTGATATTCAGTCCCAAAACTAATCTGTCTCTCTTCCCCATTAAAATGCTCCTTAAAATCAACTCTGACTATCATTTTGTAGCCTGCCATGATATCACCTTATTTAGTTTGGTGTCAAATTTTGTTTGGTAATATTCCTGTGGGGCATCTTGTTAAGTTAAAGAAGGTGCCTCCCAGGGATGATCCTATGCAGATGTTTGGTCTTTTAATAAGTGTCCCTTCCCTCCCTGTTCTTTTCTACAGCAAGATGTGAGTGAGTTTACACACAAGCTTTTGGATTGGTTAGAGGATGCCTTTCAAGTGAAAACTGAAGAAGAGAGGTAAGCTTGGAATGATTTTATGGGGAAAAAGACTGAAGCTGATCGGTGACATCCCTGATGTTTATAAGCTGATCTCTTGTGGTGTTGCTCACTGGTACTTTGGAAAGTAGTTGTTCCCATTGTAGACCCATATGAAAACTGGTACGACCCTAACATGTTTAAGTGAGAGAGTTTATGGGTCAGTGGTATTTAGAACTGGAAAGCAGAAAGTACTGTCTGTTGAAAGAACTATATGTTGCCCTCCTACGGGTGTCAAGGATGTGTAAAACCAATGAAACAGTGCTGGAAAGATTGTTGTTAAAAATTTCACTTGAAACTTGAACTCTCTGATTTGTTTGCACTCGTTATCTATTTGCAGTATCTATCATTTGTTTTATTTTTCTGACAGCCATCATTCTGAATCTGAAGACCCAAATATGTTCTCAAAGCTGGGAGTTATTTATCTGATTCGTAATAGGACTGACTATCACAGTTTGTGCCAGGATCTCCTGTTAATAAGTTTAAGCCAGTCTTTCCAGGACTTAGGTAAAAGGGAGCCAGGCCTAATCTGTTTCTCTGGTCATAGAGTCATACAGCTGTACAGCATGGAAACAGACCCTTTGGTCCAACCTGTCCATGCCGACTAGATATCCTAAATAATTCTCGTCCCATTTGCCAACATTTGGCCCATTACCCTTGAAACCTTTCCTATTCATATACTCATCCAGATGCCTTTTAAACATTGTAATTATACCAGCCTCCACCACTTCCTGTGGCAGCTCATTCCATACACACACCACCCTGTATGTGAAAACGTTGCCCCTTAGGTCCCTTTTTAATCTTTCCCCTCTCAGCTTAAGCCTATGCCCTCTAGTTTTGGATTCCCCTGCCCCGGGGAAAAGACCTTGGCAATTCACCCTGTCCATGACCCTCATGATTTTATTAACTTCCATGAGGTCACCCTTTCAGGATAGGCAATGGCTTAGTGGTATTATTGCTAGACTATTGATCCAGCCCGGTTCTGGGGCCCCAGGTTCGAATCCCATCACGGCAGATGGTGGATTTGAATTCAATAAAAAAAAGTCTAATTAAGAATCACCATGAAATCATTGTCAATTGTTGGAAAAACCCATCTGGTTGACTAATGTCCTTCAGGGAAGGAAATCTGCCATCCTCACCTGGTCTGGCCTACATGTGACTCCAGACACAGCAATGTGGTTGACTCTCATGGTGCCATCTGAAATGGCCTAGCAAGCCATTCAGTTGTACCAATCACTACAAAATCTCAAAGAAATGAAACCGGATGGATTACCTGGCATCCACCTAGGCACCTGAAAAGACAACAGCTAAAAATGCCCTGTCGATCCTGCAAAGTCCTCCTTATTAACATCTGGGGGCCAGTGGGCAAGGAAACCTCCGGCTGATTACCACATACCGTCCTCCCTCAGCTGATGAATTGCTACTCCTCCATGTTGAACAACACTTGGAGGAAACACTGAGGATGGCAAGGACACAAAATGTACTCTGGGTGGGTGATTTCAATGTCCATTACCAACAGTGGCACGGTAGCAGTACTACTGATTGAGCTGGCTGGGTCCTAAAGGACATAGCTGCTAGACTGGGTCTGCGGCAGGTGGTGAGGGAACCAACAAGAGGGAAAAACATACTTGACCTCATCCTCACCAATCTGCCAGCTGTTGTTTCATCTGTCCGCGACAGTATTGGTAAGAGTGACCATCGTACAGTCCTTGTGGAGTCGAAGTCCCGGCTTCACATTGAGAATAACTTCCGTCGTGTTGTGTGGCACTATCACATACTAAATCCGTCAGAGTTCGCACAGATCTAGTAACTCAAGACTGGGCATTCATGTGGCGCTGTGGGCCATCAACAGCAGAATAGCACTCCAGCATATTCCCCCACTCAAGCATTACCATCTAACCACGGGATCAACCCTGGTTCAATGGGTAGTGCATCAGGGCAGCCCAGGAGCTGCACCTGAAAATGAGGTGTCAATCTGGTGAAGCCACCAAATAGGACTACTTGCACGCCAAACAGCAAAAGCAGCAAGTGATAGACAGAGCTAAGCAATCCCACAACCAACGGATCAGATCTAAGCTCTGCAGCCCTGCCACATCCAGTCATGAATGGTTGTGGACAATTAAACAACTCACTGGAGAAGGAGGCTCCACAAATATCCCCAGCACATCAGTGCAAAAGATAAGGCTTAAGCATTTGCAGCAATCTTAAGCCAGAAGTGCCAAGTGGATGATCCAGCTCAGCCTCCTCCAGTGGTCCCCAGCATTACAGATACCAGTCTTCAGCCAATTCGATTCACTCCACGTGATATCAAGAAACGGTTGGAGATGTAGAATAGTGCAAAGGCTACCGGCCCTGACAACATTCCAGCAATAGTACTGAAGACTTGTGCTCCAGAACTTGCCACTCCCCTAACCAAGCTGTTCCAGTACTGTTACAACCCTGGTATCTACCTGACAATGTGGAAAATTGCCCAAGTATGGCCTGTACATAAAAAGCAGGACAAATCCAACCCGGTCAATTACCGCCCCATCAGTCTCCTCTCGATCATCAGTAAAGTGATGGAAGGTGTCATCAACAGTGCTATCAAGCAGCACCTGCTCAGCAATAACCTGCTCAGTGACACCCAGTTTAGGTTCCGCCAGGGCCACTCAGCTCCTGATCTCATTACAGCCTTGGTTCAAACATGGACAAAAGAGCTGAATTCCAGAGGTGAGGTGAGAGTGACAGCCCTTGACATCAAGGCTGCATTCGACAGTGTGTGGCATCAAGCGCACTGGCAAATCTGAAATCAGTGGGTGTTAGGGGGCAAATTCTCCGGTGGTTAGAGTCATAACTGACACGTAGGAAGATGGTCACAGTTGTTGGAAGTCAATCATCTCAGCTCCAGGATATTTCTTCAGGAATTCATCAGGGTAGTGTCCAAGGCCTAACTATCTTCAGGTGCTTAATCAATGACCTTCCCTTCATCATAAGTTCAGAAGCAGGGATATTCGCCGATGACTGCGCTATGTTCAGTACCATTCACGACTCCTCAGATACTGAAGCAGTTCTTGTCTAATGCAACAAGATCTGGACAATATCCAGGCTTGGGCTGATAGCTGGCAAGTGACAATTACGCTATACAAAACCAGGCTATGACCATTACCAATAAGAGACAATCTAACCACTGCCCCTTGATATTCAGTGGTGTTGCCATCACTGAATCCCCCACTATCAGCATCCTGGTATTTATCATTGACCAGAAGCTCAACTAGACTCACCACATAAACACAGTGGCTACAAGAGCAGGCCCGAAGCTAGGAATATTGTCGCGAATAACTCATCTCCTGACTCCTCAAAGCCTGTCCACCATCTACACAGCACAAGTCAGGAGTCACACGACACTGTGTTATAGTTGATTCAGAGGTAGTAGGAACTGCCGATGCTGGAGAATCTGAGATAACAAGGTGTAGAGCTGGATGAACACAGCAGGCCAAGCAGCATCAGAGGAGCAGGAAAGCTGATGTTTCCGGTCTGAACCCTTCTTCACAAATGGGGGAGGGGAAGGGGGCTATGAAATAAATAGAGAGAGAGAGGGGGAGGCAGATGGAAGATGGATAAAGGAGCAGATAGGTGGAGAGGAGACGGACAGATCAGGGAGGTGGGGATGGAGCCAGTAAAGGTGAGTGTAGATGGGGAGTTAGGATGGGGGTAGGTCAGTCAAGGGAAGACGGCCAGGTCAAGGAGGCGGGGATGAGGCTGGTAGGTAGGAGATGGGTGTGTGGGGGTTGAGGTGGGAGGAAGGACGGACCGGTCAGGGAGGCGGGGGCGAGCTGGGCTGGTTTTGGGATGCGGTCGGGAGCGGGGAGATTTTGAAGTTTGTGAAGTCCGCATTGATACCATTGGGCTGCAGCGTTCCCAAGCGAAATATGAGGTGCTGTTCTTGCAACCAACCCAAAGGGCAACTAGGAACGGGCAAGAAGTGCTGGTCAGTCAGCGATGCCCACATCCCACAAATGAATAGAAAAAAAAACCCTCAGCCTCCGGTGCTGCAGGGAAAATAGCCCCAGTCTATTCAACCTCTCCCTATAGCTCAACACCAAGCTCCTCCTACCCCACCCCCGACACCCAAACCAACCCTGACAACATCCTTCTAAATCTTCTCTGAACCCTTTCACTTTTCACAACATAGTTTCTATGGCAGCGAGACCAGAATTGAACGCAGTATTCCAAAAGTGGCCTAACCAGTGTCCTGTACAACCACAACATGACCTCCCAACTCCTATACTCAGTGCACTGTCCGGTAAAGGCAAGCATACCAAATGCCTTCTTCACTATACTGTCTATCTGTGACTCCACTTTTGAGGAACTATTAATCTGTAATTCATCAAAGCATTGAGTTCAAGACTCACTGCGGAGACTTGAGATCATATTTAGGCTGTTCTGAGGGAATGGTGCAATTCTATTGATTAGACCATAACCTGCTGCCTGTTTGCCCCCTCAGGTGGACAGTAAAAACAATCCATGGTATTACTTGGGGAAGAGTTCTCTTCATTTTTCAATCCAATGTTTTATTCTCCAGCCAATATTAAAATTTTGGCCCAGAACTTCCAGTCTTCACTGATGTCTGGGGGAAGTGCCTGGACAGTTTGAACTTCTGATAAGTAATTCCCCTGCTTCCCCTGACCTCCTGCAGAAGTCTCTGGCTTAGTTTGAAGACTTTGGACATTTCAATGGTGCTTAACTGAAGAGTTATCCAAGAAATGTTAAACAGAAAAATCCTAGTCTAACTCTTTGGGAACTCCAGAACTGACCCACCATTCACTCACTGTGACACAACTACCTAAACTAATATGTCAAGCCCCTGACCCAACCCAACTACCCCTCCTGACACGCTAACACTTGACTACCCTTCCAAGTCCTACCCAACATCACCTCACCCTACCCTACTCTAAAATTATGCAGTTCCAATAAGATACAAAACTTTTCAATTGAACATGAGGCTTCGAGATCTCACTGCTTATTTCGTGTTGAGTTACAGTACACTGAATTTCCAGTGCAAGAATAAGCCATTCAACCTACTGGTCTAAGTTGGTGTTTTGGTTCTGTGTCATTTAGTGGAGCCTAGTGCACTTACGGTAGAATAGAGGTCAGAACCTAATGTTGAAGGTGCTCTCCAGGAGCAAGAAGACAATCTAGAAAAAAAAAAGACAAAAACAAAAATATTTATTCAAAAATTTTATTTATGCGTCCATTGAAAACTTTACAGGATTTGATAGAGTGGAATGCAGAAATTGTTTTCATGGGCACTAGTAATAGATCAGTGGCAAAAGAATCAAGGAGGGAGTTTATTCTACTCAGATCAAATTGTTATAATCTTGAATGTGTTCTGAACTACTGGAAAGAGTATTGTGAACAGATTCCACAGCACGTTTCAGCTGGATAAATACTTGCTGTAAAGGAGAAACTTGTAGGGCTGTGATTGAAGAGGAGGTGGAGTGTAACTAATAAGATGGTTCTATAAAAAAGTCTGGGACAGGCATGGTGGTTAGAATGGCTGCCACCTTGCTGCATGTTGCTATGCTTGCTTATCCCAATGTTATGCTAGTATGTATGGTGAAGTGTTTCTTTCTTGCCAGGGATGGCGAAAAACCAAAGAACCCAATGGTGGAGCTCTTCTATGGACGGTTCCTGGCTGTGGGGATGCATGAAGGTAATGTACATCAGGACCACCTTGTGAAAAAATTCTAGGACATAGGTAGGAGCCAGAATCGTCTGTACAGCTCCTCCAGCCTGCTGTGCCATTCTGTAAGACCATGGGTGGACTGAGATGCCAACTCCACCTTCCGCAACATCCTCAAATTTCTGTATTCCCTTAGTGTCCAAAAGTATATTAGTAGTCTTGAATATATTCCATGACTGAACTTCCTCAGCTCTCTGGAGATTCCAAGTAAAGAAATTTCTTCATACCTCAGTTTTACATAGCTGACCCATCTCCTGAGCCTGTGACCCCTAGATCTGGACTCTCCAGTCCCTCATGCTGTTGAACCCTCTAGTTTAAAATGTTACATTAGGATCACCTGTTGTTCTTCTAAACTCCAAACAATGTTGGTCCATTCTACGCAACCCTTTAAGAGGACAACATTTCCTCCTTGAAATTAACCTAGTAAACCTTGCTGCACATCTTCTAAGCCAAGTGTATCCTTTCTTAGGTAAAGAGACTAAAACTGTACATTAGACATCACCAGAGCCTGGTATAATTACAACACTACTTCTTTACTTTCTGCTCCCTTGCATTGAGAACTTACATATCATTCACCTGTCTCATTGTTTTCTGTACTTTGCTGTTAACGTGGAGATTTATTGCAAGAACATTTGAATCTCTTAGGAACCCAACTTCTTTCAGTCTTGCACATGTTAAAAAAAATTTACTTTTCCATTCTTCTTACCAAAATGGACAGCTTTACACTTCCTAAATTATATTTCATTTTCCACAATTTTCCCATAATCTTATTGGATCTATACCTTTGAAGCCTCATTGTGTCCTTGTCATGACTTATTGTCCACCTTTTTATGTGCCTACATTCCACTTATCTTTGCACCATCAAACTTGCAAGCATTACAGTCAGAACATTCATCTGAATTATTGTTTCAGAAACTTACAGTTTTGATTCTTTTTAACAGCCAAAAGAGAAACTTTAATTGAGTCTTATGGGACTTCTTACACTCAACGCTCTGTCATGAACAGGACAGATTAAGATTAGATTAAAAATCCATCTGAATTGTCTTATTAATATTTCAGGGCAAGTATTACACAGGTTAGATATAGAATAAAAATCCTGCCTCTTCACTGTTTCCAAGAAACAATCCCAGAGCAGGTACAACATGTGGTTAGAAACAATAAAATTCCCTCTTCGCTGTGCCAAGCAAACATTGTCAAGTCAAATATAGAATGGAGTGAGATGCAGAGTAAAATTTCTTCCACATCCCATCAAAAATTCTCAGGCCACATACAGCTCAGGTTTGATATAACACATCCTTTTCACTTACTAATCAAGGATCTGTTGATTGGATTGAGGAGTACACCTCTTTCTGTGAGCCTAGTTGGAAAGGCACGTGAAAATAGGATGATTAAAAAACAGCCCCCGTAAATGGGAGATCTGGATAATGTCAAGGTAATAACATGATTAACATTACTGCTAAGTCTGATTCTGAACTTATCTAGGGCCGAAACATTGGTACTTGTAATTATGCTCCCTGATTGTCATAGGGATGTGTGGGGGGGCTTACTGATTTGAGACTTAAATCTTACTCTATTAAACTAATGTTTACTTTCTCATTAGGGAAAAAGTTTGAGAATTCGGAGATGTTTGGACAATACCCATTGCAGGTGAATGGATTTAAGGATCTTCATGAATGTTTAGAGGCTGCAATGGTTGAAGGCGAGATTGAATCATTGCAGGCAGAAAATTCCACTAATTCTGCGAAGTCTGGACAAGAGGTGGGTTGTTACCAAAGGGTTCTTCATTGTCGCCGAGTTAATTCATTAACATGTTTGGTGCACAGTGCTAGGTTAATGTAAGTTGTCTAGCCCTGCTGAAAATATTGTTGCCATGATTTGCTGTAGCAAAGGATTATAGTCTTCAGCCAGTTGTATTCAATCCTCATGATACCAAAAAATGGCTAGAGGCTCTGGATACTGCAAAGGCTACGGGCTCTGACAACATTCCAGCAGTAGTATTGATGACATGTTCCAGAACTTGCTGCACCACTTACTAAGCTGATTCAACACTGATATCTACCTGACTATATGAAAAATTACCCAGATATGTCCTGTACACAAAAGGGAGGACAAATCAAACCCAGCCACTTTCCACGCTCTTAGTCATCAGTAAAGTGATGGAAGGTGGCATCAATAGTGCTTTCAGGCTGCACTTGCTTAGCAATAACCTGTTCATTGAAGCTCACCTCTGGGCATCAGTGCATCATTACAGCTTTGGTTCGAACATGGACAAAAGAGCTGAGTTCCAGAGGTGAGGTGAGAGTGTTACCCTTGACATCAAGACTGCATTTGACAGATTGTGGCCTCACAGAGCCCTAGCACTGGAATCAGTGGGTTGGTTATAAGGGAAAATCTCTCCTCTGGTTGGGATCATGCATGACACGTGGGAAGATGGTTATGGCTTTAGGAGGTCAGTCATCTCAGCTCCAGGACATTTCTGCAGGAGTTTCTCATGGGTGTGACGTTGACCCAGTCATAGTCACCTGCTTCATCAATGACCTTCCCTCCATCATAAGGTCGGGAGTGGGGATGTTCGCTGATGATTGCAGAATGTTATCATTTTAATTAGTTTAATAAAGGTGAGTTGTATTCACAATTGCTTTCTTTCTTTGCCATTCATTCCTGATTTATGACCACCTTCTTAGGAGCAACATAATATATTACTTAGACTAACAGACCAGGCACATTTAGGAGAAAAATTAATTGATCTCTGTTGTGTATTTTGTATGTGTTGTAAGTGTTGACTTATATGAATGTAAAGTTTCATAACGAAACTCTAAGTCAAATATTAGGACAAAAAACAGAAATTGGTAGTTGAAACCAGGCAGACAGGGGAAAGCAAGTTCAGCAGTTTGATGTGTAGTTATCACTTTCCACTGCAGAACCTGAACACCAACACAACATTACACCACATTTGTGGTGGGTGCATGGAATGTGCTGCCGGTGGTGGTAGTGGAGTCAGATAAATTAGGGACATTTAAGCAACTCTTGGATAGGCACATGGATGATAGTAAAACGTAGGGTATGCAGGGTAGTTTGATCTTAGAGTAGGATAATAGATCGGCACAACATTGTGGGCCAAAGGGCCTGTACTGTGCTGTACTGTTCTATGTTCAACACCATTTTGCAACTCCTCAGGTACTGAAGCAGTTCATGTCCAAATGCAGCAAGTTTAAAAATAAGGGGTTGCCAATTTAAGTCAGAGATGAGAAAACATTTTTCTCTAAGTTGGGTTTAATTGGACTTCCCTTCCTCAAAATATAGCAGATGCATCTTGATATATTTGTAAGGCAGAAGTAGATGAATTCTTGATTACAAAGAGGATAAAAGATTAGCCGGGATATTCATGAACGCAGAATTGAGGTTAAAATCAGAACAATCTTGATTTTATTGAATGATGGAGCAGACTCAAAGGGTTGAATAGCCTACTCTTGTTCATTGTTCATAGGTGTGGACTGTCAAGAGCAAGTAATATTCCTGTAATACAAAGTGTCACAAAATGACCATACCAAAAACAGAAACTAGCTATCATCATATGACATTCAATGGTATTACCATCACTGAATCCTCTGCTGCCAACATGTTGGGGCATACCATTCTCCAGAAACAGAACTGCATTCTTCATGTAAATGTAAGTTGGAGACGAGGAGTCCTGTAGTTAATGGCTCATCTCCTGATTCCGAAGGCCTGTCCACCATCTACACAGTACAATGGGAGTGTGATGGAATACTCCCCACTTGCCTTGATGGGTGCAGCTTCAACAACATTTAAGAAGCTTGACACGGTCCAGTACAAAGCAACCCATTTGTTTGGTATTGCATCCATAAACATTCACTCTAGAACCAACCTTCAGTATCAACAGTATGTAGCATCTACAAGATGCATTGCGAAAGTTGATCAAGGCTCCTTAGACAGCATCTCGCAAACCCATGATGACTACCATTTAGAAGGGCAACAGCAGCAGATAGATAGCAACATAACCATCTGCAAGTTGCCCTTGAAGCCACCTCACCATCATGACTTAGAATTATATAGCTGTTCTCTCGGTATTGCTGGTTCTAAAGCCTGGCATTCCCTCCCTGACAGCGTAATAAGTATCCCTAAACCAAATGGAGTTCAGCGTTTCAAGAAGGTAGTTCAGCACCGCCTTCTCAACAGCATCTAAATAAATGCTGGCCCAACCTGCAATTCCCACATTGCATGAAAGATTAATAGTAAAATCTATAAAAGACAAAACACAATGCTGGAAATCTGAAACAATAAAAAAAAGATAATTTTAAGGCAATTCTTCTTTTGTTCAAGGCATACTCTCTGCTTGTACCTGAAATGATAGGATTATCATTTGGCAAAAAATAATGTTTTATGGTTTCTGATTCATCACGAAGTATTGCATTCCACTGATGATGAGAGAGTAGCTTAATGAAGGTGATCTGACCTTAAGCTGCTGCCAAGAGGTTGGACACCTTTGGAACATTTGAAATATGAGGATACTCAAAAGAACCATTAATTAATAGATTAATAGGGAGTTCTTGGAACCTATGGGAACCCAGGAGATAAGAATAAAAGCCTTAAAACTTGCTCCACATTTCTGTAAGATCATTTATAATCTTGCAGTCTCAGATCCATTTTCACGTGAGGGGCAAAGAAATTCTCACCCTAAATTGTGGGGAAATTGCAATACAGTGGAATTGGGTGTCCAGGCATATGAATGACAGTAAGTTAGCACAGAGGCACAGCATGTGATTAAGAAGGCAAATGGAACATTAATGGTTTATTGCGAGGGGAGTGAAATATCAAAATAGGGAACTTTTGTGGCAGTTACACAAGATATTGGTGAGACCATATCCAGAGTACTGTGTACAGTTTTGATGCCCTTACTGAAGGGAGGGCATAATTGCATTTTATGCAGTTCAGTGAAGGTTCACTCGACTGATTTCTGAGTGGAGTGGTAATCTTACAAGGCAAAATTGGACAGATTAAGCTTGTATCCATTGGAGATTAGAAAAATAAGAAGCAATCTTGCTGAAATATATGAAATTTGAGGGGACTTGACAGGTGGCTGCTGAAAAGGTATTTACCTTTATGAGAGATAGGAGAACTAAACAATACTTAGTAGCAGCAGAGTGTACTATGTCCAAGATGCATTGCAGTAACTCAGCAAGGCTTCTTAGTTTTCAAACCCATGAGCTCCACCATCTAGAAAGACAAAGGTGAAAGATGAATGGGAATGCCATCACCTGCAAGTTCCACTTGCACACACCCACCTGACTTAGAACTATCTTGCCAAGTTGCTGACATACTGACTAGTGAAAACAGGAAATCCTTCTTTACCCTGTCAAAATTGTTCAAAATTTTGAACATATCAAGAAGGTCATCTCTTATTCTCCTTGTAGCAAAGAATAAGCTTAATTCCTATAATCTTTCCTTTTATCAAAAATCCCTCATTTCTAGTTTCATTCTAGTAAACCTCCTTTGTACTCTAGGGCTTTAACATCCTTCCTTAAATAAGGTGCATGGAACAGAACACAATACTGGAGTATGTGGCCTGACCAATGATTTGTAGAGGTGTAGCGTCACTTCCTTTATAAAACCAAGAATGCTATATGTATATTTATTTTATCCCATACAATGGCTTTCCCTACTATTGATGTTAAGCTAACAGGTTTGTAGTTTCCTAGGTTATCCTTTGCCCCTTTCTTAAACAACAGTGTCACATTTGCGGTCCTCCAGTCGCCTGGCTCTGCAATTTTCTCCCTTACCTCTGTCAGCAATCTTGGATGCATTCCATCCAGGCCTGCTGACTACTTTACCTGCAGTGCTGCTAGCCTTCTTTGGCGCCTCTTCTTTATAGTGTCACACAGCAGAGAAACAGACCCTTCAGCCCACCATGTCTATACTGACCAAACACCAACTACACTAATCCTATTTATCTGCACTTGGTCCATAGCCCACTGTCCTGGCATTTTAAGTGCTCATCCAGATCCTTTCTAAAATTACGCAAGCGTATCTGCCTCCATCACCTTCTCAGGCAGCCCATTCCTCATTTCTGCCATGCTCAAGGTGAAATTCCTTTTCTGATCTCCTGTAAATCACTTACCCCTTGCTTTAACCTTGTCCTCTGATCTGCCATGGGGAAAAGATTCTTACAATCTACTCTGTCTATGTTTCTCATAATTTTGTGTACCTCAGTCAGATCCTCCCTTAGCTTCTTCATCTCACATTCAGTCTGAGACTTTTCAACCCCAGGCAACATCCTGGTGAATCTCCTCTGCACCCTCTCCAGTGCAATCAAGTCCTTTTGATAGTGTGACAATCAGAGCAGCACACAGTATTCCATCTGTGGCCCAACCAATGTTTCATGAAGTTTTAACGAGACTTCCTTGCTCCTATATTCTACGCCGCACCTAATTTAGATAAGCATTCTGTATGCCTTCTTCACCATCCTGTCTACCTTCAGGGATCTGTGGACTTGTAGACCAAAGACCCTTTGTTCCTCAGTAATCCCTAGGGACCTACCATTCATTGTGTATATCCTTCCCTTTGTAGACCTCCCAAAATCAGGATTAAATTCCATCTGCCATTGCTCTGCCCAATTTACCAGCTGATTAATATCAAACTGTACCCTGAGAGCATCCTCCTCACTATGAACAACACCAGTTCTCGTATCATCTGCAGACTTACTAATTATACCTTCTACATCCACATCCAAGTTGTTAATATAATAGCAAATAGCAAGGGTGCCAGTACCAATCCCATTGGCACACCACTGGTCACAGGCTTTGAATCACAAATCAACCCTCCACCATTACCCTTTGCCTCCTATTGGTAAGCCAGTTTTGGATCCAGGTTACCAATTTGCCTTGGATCCAATGGGCTGTTACCTTTTGGACAAAACTTCCATGTGGGACCTTGTCAAAGCTGTTACTGAAGTATGTAAACTACATCAACTGTACAACCCTCGTCAATATACCTAATCACCTTTTCAAACAACTCAATTAAATTTCTTAGATCAGATCTCCCTCCAGGAAATCAGTGTTGACTATCCCTGATTGATCCTTGTCTTTCCAAGTGTTGATTAATCCGGTCACTCAAAATTATTTCCAATAATTTCCCGACCACTGACGTCAGACTGACTGGTCTGTAATTACCTGGCCTATCCCTGCTGCCCTTCTTGAACAAAGGAGTCTCATTAACTATCTTCCAGTCATCTTGCACTTCACCAGAAAAATAAACACAATCTAAAGACCCTGGAGACGTACCATCAATGTTATTTGAGATGGAGTCTGTTTATCTGCTGGAAGGGCAGATGTACTAATATTAGTGTCTTTGCAGCATCTAATAGCACCAGCATCAAGGCCATGATCATCTGAAACCAACTCCGCTGGACCGGCCAAGTATTAAAATGCCGGAGTTCCAACTACCAAAGCAAATCGTCTTAGCTCAGCTTAAGGAAGGTGCTCAAAATGAGAGGAGGACAAAGGAAACATTTCAAAGACCCCTTGAAGACTTCCCTTAAGAAGTACAATATAGATATCAACACATCTCTTAAACTATTTACATATAACACATGTTTAAAGATTTTGAAACACACAGCCAACTTATGGGGTGCCTCAGTGGTTAGTGCAGCTGCCTCATAACACCAGGGTTGCAGGTTCAATCCCAGCTTCGGGTGTCTGTCTGTGTGGAGTTTGCACATACTCCCCATGTCTGTGTGGGTTTCCTCCCACAGTCCAAAGATATACAGGTTTGGTGGATTAGCTAAATTTCTCTGTAGTGTCTGGTGGTATGTAGGCCAGGTGGATTTGCTGTGGAAAATGTGGGGTCCCAGGGATAGGATAGGGGGTTGGATCTGGGTGGGATGCTCTTCAGAGGGTCAGTGCAGCCTTGAAGGGTCAGATGACATCTTTCTGCACTGTAGGGTTTCTAGTCTATGTTTTCTTTACTCAGAGAGTAGTAAGGGCGTGGAATCCCCTGCCTGCAAAAATGGTAGACTCGCCAACTTTAAGGCATTTAAATGGTCATAGGATAAACATATGGATGATAATGGAATAGTTTAGGTTAGATGGGCTTCAGATTGGTTTCACAGGTCAGCGCAACATCGAGGGCCGAAGGGCCTGTACTGCGTTGTAATGTTCTATGTTCTATAATTATATTAATCCCAATAGCACCCAATTACAAGACTCAAATTTTTGGAGAGAATTTTTGGATTATGAAGAGCTTTAATGGAATGACAAAGAAATAAGTATGTCACATATCCACGATGTTGGTTTGACCATATCAAATTTTTACAAGGTGAAAAATGATTTCATGAAATTTCTTGATGCATATAGTCGTGAGAGCAGGAAATACATTGTTACTGAGGGAGGAGTCATCGTGCAAAGGAAACGTGGATAAAGTATTGGAAGCAAATGATGTATTGATGTGAGTGAAGACTTTGATAATAGGATTAACCTTGAATTGCTCCATAACAACTGGTCATCTTTCATTCTGTGGTTCTTCACTACGTTAACCTGACATTAATGGAAAGTTGACTGTAAATTGGGCAATGTTCACAGTGCAAAATTTATCGCAAAAGCAAACCTAATTAACAAAATATTTGCCTGGATTGTAATTTTTCAGCAGTGTCCTCTTTAATGACCTCAACAGCCAGCAGATGTGAAATTCACAGCCACGAAGTAACATTGCACCTTTTTGGGAGAGTTATGACTCAGAGTTCCCTCCAGCTTCTCCACCACCTTTTCCCCCAACCAAAACAAAAAGTGATTGCCTTGTTGTTTTCTGTTCCCACAGCACTGGTTTACTGCACTCCCACCCGTCTTAACCTTCGAACTTTCCAGATTTGAGTTTAATCAAGCTTTGGGAAGGCCCGAGAAGATTCATCACAAATTGGAATTTCCATCTGTCTTATACATGGACAGGTACAGCAGCCTTGTAGTCAGCTTTGAGAATAAATATTGAATAAAATATCCTGGCATTTTAAAAAAAAGTCTTTGCTATGAAACCATAACACCAGCGACTTAAAATAATATACTGCTTTGACATAATTAAATGATGCTAAGAGCATTATCGGATAAAGTTTGACATCTTCACTCAACACCCTAAATCAAATGCCATCAGTGTGCGACTATTTCACAATGCAAATATTATACAGGCTGTGGTCTGGGAATTCAGTTATGGCTTTACTTTTGCTACATTTTCCCTTACGTTAAAAAAATTAGGCACAGTACATTTTGTAAGCAAACTTTTCATAGGCAGTTGTGTCAGGAGCCGGGAGCTCAGGTTTACAGTCATCACGAAATTAGCTTGGGTAGGGGTGAGATAGAATTTTCTTTTGCATAAGTTATGATGACTTGGGGAATGAGCTACAGGAGGTCCCCACCTTACAAACGCTCATACTTATGAGCAAGATCTCAATTTGCTATTAATTTCTAAGGATCAGACGTGCGAGCTTATCATACTTACAAATGGATATTTTATATTGTGCTGTGTTGTCCTCCAACTTGTGTACAAACCGATTTAACAAACGTACTTAGGAGCAGAAGAACCCATTCGTAGCCGGGAGGCTGCCTGTATCTGAAAAGGATTCATTACCAAATTTCAAAAGGGGATTGCATTTTTGTTCCAAATTGCATGGCTTTTGGGAAGGACTGGGAATTATTCATTAGCACTTTTAAAGAAATAGCACAAGCACAATGAACCAAACATTCTCCTTTGTCCTATAAAATTTCAGCCATTGATTCTCTTCCCTGATATGTCAGGGAATGAGATAATTTCCTCCTTAAATGGATGGTATATTTATTTAAAAATACAGGTACATGGATAAAAACCGAGAAATCACCAGGATCAAGCGGGAAGAGATACGAAGGCTTAAAGATCACCTTACAGTGTTGCAGCAACGATTGGAAAGGTATGTGAACAGGGAGGCTTGATGGAGAACAGTCGCTAGAAATGAGCAAAGAACTAAGTCCTAGTAAGTAACCTGGTCAAGAGCCTAATAGACGAGCCATATCTGTTCTGTGCTGAGATTGTAGCACGTTTTTCTGCATCTGGGAGAGGTGCATTTAAGGTGAAACTAGGTAAACACAAGACGCGTGAAGGATTAGAAAGATATTGATACATGATTACATGGTATAAGGTGGCTTACATGGACCAAAGACAGACACCGGGAATGAATGGTTTACTTCTGTGCTGTAAGTACCGTATAATTCTATGGGGGGGGGGGCGACTCATGGTTGGGCATCATAATTTCGTGCATCAGCAACTGAGCTGGTGTAGACCAGAAGCCTATGGACCTGAATTGCGGTGTGTTGATTTAGTTCATTGTAATGTGTGTCTTTCAATTTGCTTGAACACCCATTAGCTATAATGTGGGTAATTGACCAGGTTTTGGTTTTTGAGTCATATCCAGCAATCGTTCTTGAAAAACGATGTTGGATAAGAAGAATGATGCCTCTTCCTCTCTGTTAAGTGGGCACTCACTGTCCAAATTCTTAAGAAATGTCAGTAGCATGAGAGGGTTAATCTGTCAAGTTCCCTAACAGAACAGGAGGAGGGAACATAATGAGAAAAAGTATTAATAGCAACATTTATCAAGGTAAGAGTGCCCAGAGAACAGGCTGTTTAACTAAGGTAGATTAACATAGGGCACAGAGAAAATAACCTGAAAACATACATTAATCAAGCAAATCCAAGCTGGTAGTATGCACATTGTTTACCTTCTGGGCAAAAACATATTGGATGTGGGTGTTGTTGGCTAGGTCAACATTTGTCACCCAATTGGGTGGCTTTCAAGTTTGTTTCAAAGGGCCATGAAGGGAAAACCACGATTGACTTTCTGGAAGTCGTGTTGAGGCCAGACCAGGTATGGATGGCATACCCTAATGGATTTCAATGAACCAGATTCCTTCCCCCGCCCCCGCTCCATTATTGGTAGCAGTTACATAGCCTCCTTTAGGTTACCTTTTAATTCCAGATTTCTTGCCTTCAAATTTTACCATCTGTCTGGTGGGATTCCAATCCATGCCTCCAGAACATTAGGCTAAGGGTTCTGGATTCCTTGTCCAGTGACATTACCACAATGCTTCATCTTCCCAGTGTCATTACTATTGACAGACAACAGCAGCAAAGTCAAACATGCATCAGATATCATCTTAACCTGTTGTAGTCCATGCCAAGCAAAGAAGCAATGTTCTTCCAGAAAACGTAGAGCTCTTCCTCGAGAAAGATCCCAAGAATCTTTTATATTTACCTGAACAGCCAGATTTAATGCTTTGGTTTTGTGATCCAGCATTGTATTTATATAGCACCTTCAGTGGTGTAAAAGGAACCTGTGCCCTTCACAGGAGTGTAATCAAACAAACTTCAGACAAAAGACAGTATTTCTGACAATAAAGCACTCCATGCTATATTCAGATGCTGGATGAAATATGTACTCCAGTCTTTTGTACATGTTATTAGCTGAGCCAATCTGATATTAAGTTGATGCTTAAGCCCATTTGAACAGATTCCTGGTGTTGCCAATTTTTACAAACCTTGATTCTTGCTCTGTATCATACTATTTTTCTCTAGTTTTTAACTTGATTTTTCTCTGACTTTTTTTCTCTTCTGCTTTCCTTTTCCTCTCCACTTCTCTCGCTCCCTTTCTCCACTTCTCTCGCTCCCTTTCTCCACT